AAAAAAAAAATAAAACAAGGAACATCTGAGAAACTGTCATAGCTAAGAGAGGCTTAAGGAGACCTAACTGAATGAATTATAGTATCCTGGATAGGATCTTGGTACAAAAAGGGGGTATTAGGGAAAAACTAATGGATATGCACTTACTTTTTAACACAACAGTTTCACAGATAAGAATCTGTTTTGAAGGTACCCCTCCAACATTCTGAAAATACATGTACACAAGTTTAGTCAGTATAGCATTGTAATTTCTAAATATTGACAACAATTTAAATGCTCATACATAGGAGAATAGTTGAGTAAACTCTGGTATATCCACACCATCTATTAAAAAAAAACAAACACCAAAGATCTCTGAACTGATGAGTGATATCCAAGACATACTGTTAAACAAGAAAAGGCAAAGCTCAAAGGAGTATCTGTGGTATGATATTCTCATCATGTAAGAAAGAAAGGGATTTGAGAAAATGCATGTGTCTGCTCATTTGTACAAAAGAAATACAGGAAGGATAAACTAGAAACTAAAGAGTAGTGACGTGTGGAGTTTAGTGGGACAGATATGGAGAGAAGGGCACAATGGGGTTGAGGTAACAGGGATAACGAGGGAGTGGCATTTCTCTGAGGGTATCTTCTGTATAGCCCCGACTCTTAGGACTGTAGTATTATTTCTCATAGCCTTCATGTAATAAAAAAAACCAAAAAACAACAAAACAACCAGGATGTGTGAGGGTAATAGTGGTGTAAAATGGAATATAAACACTAACAGATGAACTCAACTATATTACAAAGGAATAATGTAACTGCTGAAGGGGGTGGCAAAGGAAAGAGCTGTTTGAGTAACTAAAATCTTGACTGGATATTGTGCTGAGGCTCCAGGTAAAAAGACTACGTAAGTGCTGTAATCTAGTCAGTAAAGGTGTTTCTCGCAGGGTATGTATGAATAGCAATTCTGGGACTCCGTATTGTCTATAATAGCATCAACAAGTAAGTAAATACATTATGGATAATAAGAGCTAGGTTTCTCACTATTGGAGAAGGAGGTTTCAGATAAGGAAGTACAGAAGGATGAAATGAGTCCTGTGGTAATAGATTGGAATTGGAGGTATCAGTATAAATTCACAGTTTTTAATATACATACAGATAGATACAGAAATGTAGGTGTCTGTGCATGTGTGGGTTAGTATATACACATGTATTTCCTAGCTCTGTTGAGAGAGCCTAGAAAAACCCCAGTAGCAATGAGTATGCCTATTACCCAGATTTTAACACTATTGTCCAATAAAAGGAACCAAGGCTCTTTAGAGAAGTGCTTGATTCCATGAATGGTGCAGGATGATAAAAGATGAGTCTGGAACAGCTTGTGCCACAAAATAAGGAAGTACTTAAAAAGAAAAGATGGGGAAGGGGACCTTACACAAGAACACAGGAGCCAACCTGAAGGACTCTTCATGGCCAAAGCTGGAGTAATTTGAGCAACAGAGAAAATGATAGTATTCGGTTTTAGCCCATAGGATAGAATAAATATCCATGGATCCATACTGACATAATCAACTAAATAAATAAACGGAGAAGGAGCAGCTCGAACTTAGAGTAAAATTTTCATTAATAAATATAGAAGGGAAGAGAGAAATAGAAAATCACCATTAGGCAAACACCATAGTAATAACTTGCAGAAAAGATCCACCAATGGAGGGACACCTGGGTGGCTCAGTCGTCAAGCGTCTGCCTTCAGCTCAGGTCATGGTCCCAGGGTCCTGGGATCGAGCCCCGCATCGGGCTCCCTGCTCAGCTGGGAGCCTGCTTCTCCCTCTCCCACTCCCCCTGCTTGTGTTCCCTCTCTAACTGTCTCTCTCTCTGTATGTCAAATAAATAAATAAAATATTAAAAAAAAGGATCCACCAATGGATGCTAAGATTAGTGGGCAAAAATTTAAGATGAAACAGGATTTGCATAGTTCAGAGTATCTCCCCAAGAAATTTAAATACAAAGGAGATGTTAACTTTTCCAGGAGACAATACCTCAACTGAGTGATCAAGGTTAACATCACCATTAATAAGTCCTATTGACACCTTGGTAAAATGCACTCAGGATATAACATCATTTTTCTGCTGTTCTTGCCAAAAATGTATAACTTTATTCCAATAATGAAAAAACATCAGCCAAACCCAAGTTGACGGACTGACTACAAAATCAGTACTCTACAAAAGTGTCAGATACAGTTCTTGGGTGCAGTGTTCTAAAAATAGGTAGTTCAAAGTGCTGAATATTTTAGTTCCGACCTTTTATATGTTTCTGAATTTTTCTAATTCATCATTCATTGATAGGGGTGTATTTACATTTCTATGACTGAAGAATTGTCTGTTTTTGCCCTTTGATGCTATCAGTTTTTGCTTTTGTGAGGTTTATACTCATTTATAATTGTTATGTCTTCTTGATAAATTGACTATCCTTTGTGGTAGTTCTCAGCTGCCAAAATGAAGTATCCAGGTGATTTGAACCTCCTGAGACAGAATGTAGATGTGGAAATTCATCTTCTTGAATATGGTTTAGGACTTTGAATTAGACTTTTGATAAATTATAGTTATGGATCTTAATGTTGACTAAATCCTTTGTCCTTTTCAACATTTAATATATATGATTATCTACATTATTAGTGTTGAAAGTTTTTACTCTTTTATTGCAGCAAAAAGCAAACAGAACCTTGCTAAAACAAAGAAATCAATTCCTTTGTTCAGTTCTGATCTGTAATTTAAACTAACAAATTGGCTTATAAACAGTTTGAAGAAGTTTGAAAACAAGATACATAGAGTTGTAGTAAGAAGTAGAAAATCTGGTGTACCGTCCTTAACGTATTTTGTTGTTCTCATTAAATTTTGGTGAATTAAATAGTGAATGAATCTATAGTTTTTCTTAAAAGAGAGACTCCGTGTTCTGTCATACTGATAGAGATTAGTGGCATACGTACTACTGCTTTCAGAAGTTGTTTGACTTAGGCTCTAGTCTCTAAGTTATAATATTCTCATGTATTTGTTAAGCTTAGTTCTTTTTTCTCAACTCAGTGTCACAACTAAAAACTGAGTAAGAAAAAAAGCCATATTTCTCCCAGTACTGTACTGAAGAGAAAATATATCCACATTGTTTCTATTGCTTTAAGTTGATCTGAAAGTTAATTGGACTGGTTAATAGACACTGGGATTTTGACCACAGTCACTAACTCCATATATTAACGTCTGTTTGCAGAGTTATTAGTTCTACAGTGGAAGTTAATGAGTTTATACGTAGTGAAATTAAAGTTAAGTCAAGAACTTTTAATATTAGGAGTTAGGATATCAATAATATCAGCAATAAGACATCGGTGTATAGATTGTACTACCCTTTTACCTAGGATGAATAAGTTACTGAATGTGTAGAATTCTTTATGTACACACTGTCCTTAGTGAATATCTAAATGTAGTACCTGTTATTCTATAGATAAAGACCCAGAGTCTGAGAAGAGACCTTGCATAGTGGCAAGAATATGAGCTAGGAGGGCAGGCATGGGTCTGTATCTTAGTTTATTCATTCAGTAGCCAAATGACTTTGGGCTACTCACTTAATTTCTCTGAAATTTATATTTCCCATGCCTTAAATTAGGGATAAATATTTACATCTTAGGTTTTTTTTTTTTTTAATATTTTATTTATTTGACAGAGAGAGACACACCGAGAGAGGGAACACAAGCAGGGGGAGTGGGAGAGGGAGAAGCAGGCTTCCCGTGGAGCAGGGAGCCCGATGTGGGGCTCGATGTGGGGCTCGATCCCAGGACTCTGGGATCATGACCTGAGCCGAAGGCAGACGCTTAACGACTGAGCCACCCAGGCGCCCCCATCTTAGGTTTGTTTTGAGGAAGAAATGAGATGCAATGTGTGTACTTGAAAGAAACCTGGTGATCAATACATATTAGGGCTTTTTCCTTTCACTTTTTTGTTTCTTCCTGAGTTTGGTTCAGTATAATTAATGCTTTTATACATGGTTAATTTAGCCACCTAACGAAAAACTTAGACTGACAGCATGCTCTTTAAATGTAAATGGAAGCAGTCTGGATATTAAAGATTTATTAGAAGTACTTTTACAAATACTTCTCAGTTGGCTGCATAATAGGCACTTAGTATATATTTATTGATAACATGTTTATATTTGCTTCATGGTCAGAAGATGGCCTGATAATAATGTCCATTTATTTCTTTAGATGTGGAAGATCTTTATGAACCAGTGTCAGTGCCATTCTCATACCCCAATGGACTCAGTGAAAACACATCTGTTGTTGAGAAGTTGAAACATATGGAAGCCAGGGCACTGTCTGCTGAAGCTGCATTAGCTAGAGTGCGTGAGGATCTGCAAAGAATGAAGTAATTTATCAATCTTAAAGAAAATTAGTTATTTAGATCCCAAAAGTAACACCACTAATAATAAGGTGGAATATGGTAAAACTTTTCATGTACTGGAAAGCACAATGTAGGTATTTAATTTTAAATTTATTTTAAGTTAATGATATGCAACATTTTTATATGTTATATAGTTGATTAACATAAAATTTTGTGGTTTTACCTGTTCTCACATACTTCTTTTAATTACTTTTGTACTAATGGTTATTGTTCTGGGAGTGTTGTCCTCTTGAGTGCTTTTGTTCTTTGCCTTCCTTTGAATTACTCTGTATCTAATAGATTTTTCCATTTACTTTTTTTCTACGAGGCTTTTAAAGGGGAGTAATTAATATTTTTTAGGGTTGGGGACAATACAGTGTTGAAATTTTTGTTTTTAAAGAATCAAAGTATAATTACATAGTATTTAGTTAGAAAACCAGATACATAGGATGGTTGTCTCCAGTGAGTAAATTAGCCTTCTTCTGGCTTACTGCTTCACAGAATTTAATGTGCATATGAATCACCTGAGAATTTGTTAAACTGTACATTCTGATTCAGAGGTCTGAAATAGGGCCTGAGATTCTGCATTTCTACCAAGTATAGCTTTAGCTGTTGGATTTGTAAGTTGGTTGCCATTCCCTCAGTGCCCATTTGATGGTTTGCCAGAAGGTCCAGCAGGGAACATAGTATAGCTGATTGTGGTTCCCTTTCCCCATTTTGAGATTTTATGCTGGTTAATCTGGTAAACAACAACTCTGCTATCTGCCTCTTTGCATTTCTCCCCCATGTATACATTATAGATTCTTAATATGTTGTGATCAGAGAGGGAATTGAGCTTTAGAGCAGCAGTGGGTGGTCGTGTTGTATGTAAATAATTCTCAATTTGGGTCAACTTTTTGTCTGTATAACCCTTCCATGAAATACGGTTTCAAAGAATATTAATAGTGTTGAAATATACCACATTGATCAGCTGCTAAAATAAGATTTTAGAACAATAGAAATAATAAAGTTGAATAAAGATAATGTGCTTTTGTTCAGTTGAAAGATACAAACAGCTATAATCTTCAGTTGGCAATGTTTTCGTGGTTTGCAGAGGGAATGTTTACATATGGGTTTAAATATGCTGTTGCGTAAGGTCCAGCAGGGGGAGCCTTCAGTTCCTTAAGATAGAATGTTGTGTTGGAAGGCTCATCACACTGCATACCCCACTCCCTCCCCTTTCCTCTCCCTCAACCTCTAGCCTTTCCTCTTTTCATGGTCCAATAAACCTGTCTCAAGGGTGTATTTCAAATTGATTACAGACAATTTGCTCAGGATTTTGTGATGAACGCAGATGTCAGAACCTGCTCGTCATCTGCCATTGCAGACCTCCAGGAAGATGAGGATGGTGTTTATTTCAGCTCATACGGGCATTATGGGATACATGAAGAAATGCTGAAGGTTAGAAAAGAGCACAAATGCACCAAATCCATACTAAAGGAAAAACAGAATAAAACAAGTTCTTAATATATATGCTGGGAGAACTGGGGGTTTTTTGGGTTTTTTTAGAACTGCTTTTTAAATCTCTTTGGTGCTTAATAGCACATCTTGGGTTGAAAAGACTGCAGGAGCATCACAGCCACTGTAAATTCCATTTAAGATCATTATTAATCTTTATTATGAAATCTTTACTTTTGCTTGAAATAGAACATTGGAAAAAACTGGTGCTGGTTTTCGTCTTCTTAAGAGCAACTATTAAATAGGAACAAATAAATTATACGTTTGCCTTTTAATGTACAGAGGGGATGATTAATTTTAGTGTTTTAAATAGCAATACTGACTTCAGTTTGGGCAAATAATTTTTTGGTACAAAGTTTAATTATAAATAATTCTCACAATTGTCATGGCATAACTTTTTTACATTTGAAATCATTGATATGTAGAATTTCCTAAATTGATCAAATCAGATTTTTAAATTTGGTTGGTTTTAATTTTTATAATGATAATGTCCATGTAAAATGTAAGTAGATTTTTAGCTATAACTAGTAATTATACATTTGATTATGTTATTATAGATTGTAAAATAGTAGGATCTAATTTTTTAATTCGGTAAAACTAAAAATATCTATAGTTGAACAAGTGTTGGAATGTAAAAAATTTATTGAAAATGTTAGATGTTCATCTCTGTGGATTTTAGATGCCCCTACCTTTTCTTGAAAACCAACAAAAAATTCGTTCCTAAATCCTTCCTCACAAGATTATTTTATTTTGGAAAGCCCTGAGACTGTGTTCCTGTGACACAGATGCGTTTAAAACAACTAGGGATATTTAATAACATGTATGTATTTTGTTGAGTCAGGTTAGCATTATCACAGAGTGGAGGTCTGCTGATTAATAGCAATTGTAATTACTTGGGGTGTTTTAAAGCAATGTCATGTTATTTCTCTACTAATGACATGTCACAGTTGGTTGTGCTTTTTCTTGTCACTTGGGTAATGGCATAGCATTATAAATAACAGTTATAAGTGATAAATTATTTTAAGTCCAGAATGAGTTTGTTTAAAAGAAATTGACTTACTCTGTTTTCTTTGTTAAAATTAATTTTATTGTGTCTAGAATTTTTTTTTTAAGGAGTTCACTTAAGCCCATGTTCGTCATTTTAAATCGCCCCATCAATTTAAATGCCATGAACCTTTAACGCCTTTGGTATGGAAATAGTGTGGGTTTTCAGACAGATAAGGTTACTGAGACTCCAAGTAGATAGTACATAAAAGTATCCTAGGTACAATCATTAGGGGAATCCAGTTTGACTACTTATTTCCAAATGTCTGTTCTGGACATTTGTGGCTGTATATCCATAACTAGAACATCTTCACACCTTGATGGTATAACCCTAAGTCCTTTTGACGTACATATGAATTTAAGAAGTTCCAGCTTGAAGTTTCCAGTGCTAACCTTTCCCTTTTAGAGAATCATTTAAGAATCCCTTTTAATATAATTTTCCATGCCTCACTTCCTGTTAGCTGTTACACAATGTAATTACCTCTCCTTGGTGATGACTTGATTAAGTGTTCATAGGAAAAAAGGATATATTCCGTGCAAAAAGAACTATTTATCCAATTTATATTTTGCCAACTTATATACTGCGGGTGAGTAGGAAATGTTCCGTATATCAAGCTGTTTCGTATCAAAAACAGTTCTTAGCTCACATAATCTGTTTAAGGTTGTGCTACTACCAGAATCTCACTTGATCTTTATAAATAATTTAAAATTGAGAAACCATGAATAGGGTTTATTTTTATGCTTAGAATTGGGCTTGCTTTTTATAGGGAGAGTATTTGGATTTTTGGTTACTTAGTCTCATATTTCAATGACACTATTTTGACATATGTTGTGATTATAATTATAAATAAAGGTACTTTGTGATCTTACTTTCTGGGGCTCAGATGAAGATAACATTTTTGAATTCTAGAGATACAGTTGATGGAAGGATGGATTACATGAACTTTCAGAATCCTTTGCCACTTTATCTTTCTGAAGAACAGTCATTGTTGACTAATGTTGTAAATCTGAGATGCATCACCCTCTTTTTTCCCAAGAAAAATATTGTTCATCCTGGTGAACATTTATCACAGATCATAATACCATTACATAATTTTTCTTTACTGCATTCTTCTCATTGTATCTCCAGCCAACTCATGCATTCCTTCCACCTTCATGAGCCTATCATTTAAAACATACTGTTATTTATATATGTAAAATTTGTAGTATATACTTTACTGTAGTCTCATTCTTCAATTTTTTTTTTAACATTTGTAGGAATAATTCCATGGCACTTTACTAGTCTTAAAAAATTATTTTGCTTCTTAGTATTAGAGCTCTGATTTTATTTTTCTTTTGTGTTTCTTAGTTTTAATAGGCTGGTGAAAAAGATAATTTTTAAGATTTCTATCCCCTTGTTTTGTATTGAAGTGTTAGTGTTTTCTTAGAATACATTTTTAGAAGTGGTTATGAGTGCTAGTCTTTATTTGCTTGCATTTTCATGTTTAGTGGTTTTTCTTTCAAAACTTCAGTTATTAAGTTGAAGCTCTGCTATGTCCAAGGCACTCTGTTTGGTATACTTTGGATTTTATTGCCCCAGAGTGAGCATGTGAATGAAAGCAGATGGATCTGTAGAAAGAGCCCAGATAAAGGACTGTAGTTGAGGGAGCAGCGGTGCATGGATTTAGGACAGGAGCAGTGGTGAGGCAGTGTGATTGGCGAGAGCTTTCCAAGTGACTGCCTCCTAGACTGATGTTCACCCAGCAGAAATCACTGGTTGTAATATGAGTATAAAAATGACAAGTGTATGGAATCGTATATATTTTTTTAAAAGACTTTTAAAATTGATTAGTTAATATGTGTAAATTTATTTAAACATTAAATTCTTTTAGTAAGTCTTAAAATAATTTCAGGGAAAGGTTTAATAAACCTTATTTAAAATTTTGTGTATAAAGCAATTAGAAATAATTCCATCAGAAAACATGGAATTAATTCTGCTATTCCCCGTTTTTATATCCTGTAATTAAGTAAAACAACTTGGCTTTTAATTTAATACCTTTATGTGTTTTTTTGCCCTAAAATTGTTTTTTGAAGGGTATAGATTGCATAAATTTTGATATCATAGCATTTGCTGTAATATTTCTTTTTACCTAGTGTGAAACCCAAAACTGGAATTCCTAATCTATTTTTATCGTGCTCATTTTATTTTCTTGACAGCAGAGGCCCTTACTGCTTAATTTGCTGGCCGTATATGTCTCAACTGAAGTAATTTAAAAGGGAATCGGCTCTATTCTTGAACTAAAATAAATGTTTGCATTCGATGCCTGTCTCAGTCACAGGTCATGTGAGACTCCAGAGTGTAGAAGTCTCAAATGTGAGCTGCAGGGCTCAAATGATTTACCTTTGGGATTATAGGCTTTTAAGCATAATTTCTTACTACAGACATTTCTAGAAACAAAACAGGATTATAAATCAGATAGGTGCTGATCAGTGACTTTCTTAGAAAAACCATACTCCGTGTCGCTTCATTTTTATATGTAACTGTAGCTTTTACATTCACCTGTTTTGGTTATTTTTCTCCCGTGTTTTAACATAGCATTTTAACATTTAACACAGTAGACTCCCTTTACTACAGGTTGTCAGGCTCTAGATTCCAGGCCCTATTTGAAGGAGCAAAACATCATGTTCAGCTTCTATTAGCTTTAATTATCAGTTGAAGTCTTGAAATGATAACGCGTGTCAAGACAAAAATGTGTACATCTTTAAGAATTTAGACCTTATCTGACTTTCAGTAATTTTCTTTGTGTGTTGTTGGCATTTCTATTTTTTCTTGTTTTTTTTTAGGACAAAAAAAATAAGCTTAGCTTTCCAAGCAAACTAGCAATATGTGATAAAATAACAAATAACTTCCTAGAAATTTTTATATTTTCAGTCTATCCTATAAACAATGCTTTTCTCTCTCTACTCTAGGACAAAGTACGAACAGAAAGTTACCGAGATTTTATATACCAAAATCCACATATCTTCAAAGACAAGGTGAGTAGCATAGGCTATATAGAATTGTACATTTCATGTGGATCTTGGGCAGTAGAAGTCCTCTCTTGGGTCTCATTGTGCTAGCAGTTGATTTAGTGTACTCTGGTTTTATTTCATGGAAGACTTTTATGATGCTTCTCTGTGGTGCAGAATCCTGATAGCAGAAATGCTGATTGGTGCTGCCATTCAGTGTATAGATTTTTTAAATTGAAATTCATTAATTACAGTGACATGGTTTAGTTAAACTTTGCTTATCCAGATTATTTTGCTTAAACCATACTGTTGATTTACTGTGATTCCTATGAATTTCAAATGTATCAGATAAGCCCTGTACCAAAGCATACTTTTAGTGATTACTCTGGTGTGTGTTAACTAGTTAAAAATAATTTTAAGAAGTTATTATTAATAAGTAGGATCAAATATTGTAAGGTAGAACTTAGGTTCTTTCTTTTAAGACCTCATTTACCCCTTTATGAGACACTTTGTATTTTACAGTTAGTCTTAATATCATTTCAGGGTATTTCAAAGATGAAATTTCACACTGTGTGTGTGTGTGTCTGTGTGTTTGTGTTTGATATTTGTGTCATTTTTCTTTCCTCCCTTATGAATTGTTTTCATTTTTTCTTCTTCACTTCCTCCTTCCCTCCCATTCTACGTTGGCATGTTTACCTAAAAGTTCAGATTTTCTGTTTGTCCTTTCTTATTGGAAATTAGTCCACTAATTTAGTCAAAGATATTATCATTTCTGCCACATGTATACCTCTGGGAATTTTTCCCCACCCTTTCCAGTTCAAGAATATATATACTGACAACATACCAGGTTTTTATAATTCCCCTTTCACCTTCATTTTAAAAGATAGTTCTCCAAGGTTATTTCATAAGTTTTACATGATATTGCAGCAGTGACTAACAATCTTTATATTTTAAAAAATTTCTTTTCCTGATTTGTGTATTGTTTGGAATATAATACAGATTGGCTTTTCATTTTCCTTATCTGTTTCCCAAGAGCTGTGTTTCACTTGTGACTTAGCTGAGTTAGACAGTTGAAATTTATATGGTACTCTGATATCTTCGCCAAAGCATTACCTAACATGAAAGGTTTATGATAATATGTATTTCTTTGTATTTACTGATCCCCTGTTATAGACAAATAGGTGATTTCATTTTTAAAATCTTACTTTTTATCAGTTCTTTGTACTTAGCTTTTTTGTGTGCTTTTTATATGTTTTACAGCAGAGACTAAGAATTTTTTTATGTTTGGTTTTTATAATTATACCCAAATGCTGGAACAATTTTTTTAATATGTCTAAAAAACCACTTTGTTTCCCAAGAAGCAAATATGTTACTATTAAAAATTTTGCTTTATATTTATAGTTGGAGTGTACCCAGATTTTTCTTTTATTTTTTCATTAATATGTTGTAGAGAAATTAAGCATGTACTGGCCTGGACATCATTAGTCCTGCCTGGCTTATCAGGAACGAGATATATAATAATTTTAGACAAGTGGGTGGATCTCTTTGGGCCTCATCTGTAAAATGAAATCATTTTAACCCCTTCTGGTTTGAAAATTTTATGATTATTTTAAATTGTAAAAGCAATGGTTTTGAGCCATCTTTTCATAATACTTTTTGATGCAAATACTATAAGAATTTGTTAAGTGAAAGTAAGTTAGAAGTATCTTTTCCAGTATGCTTCTGAATAGACTCTTGTCTTATATAAAAATATACTGAAAAGGTACAAATACTTATAATTAGAAGATTAATCATTGAGAAATTAAGTAATTCTGAATATTTCTATGCATATGGAATGCATCTTAGTGGATTCGTAGACATACACAGTCCTTTCTGCTTCTAGTTTTTAATTTGTAACGGTATTATAGAAATGTTACGTATATATGTTATGCATTTTCAGACAAAATACATGCCCATGGAAAATACATAATGTTTCAGTTATTTTGTGCTTTACTTACTGCTCTTACTGAAGACATTAAATCTGCCGAAGTCAGAAAACAGCTTATAAATAATTTGGGAGTATTTTTCCTTAGCAGTTTCTCTAAAATGCTTTCATTTAAATTAATCAGTGTGTAATTAGTTTTGCTTAGCACTTATGGCTTCTCAAAAATATACTGCAGTGTAAAATATTATACCTATCAATTTTTAATTCCTTAAACACTTTCAGGGTTTAATTTCTGTAATTAACAATATTAAATAATCTAGCACTTTCATATTTTTAAATGATTTGGGATACTTTATTATACTATGGCTACAGATTTAGAAAATTTACTACCATGTATTTAAGTAGCATTTGATAGTTTATATATTGCTTTCAAACATGTTATGTCGTTGTCACTATATAGTATACCTATAACGAGGCAGGGCAGGTATTTATCTCCTTTTGCACATGTAGATATTTGAGACCAAGAGGTTAATTGACTTGCCCTAAAACAGGCAACTAAACCAAAAACAAACACTTTCCTCCTAGTCTAGTGCCCTTAACCTTGTGCCACTGCACTTGAAACACAATTATGTTAAAATAGAATGAATAATTAGGGTGGGATGCATTCGTTGTATTTTAATTGACATTATTTTTCATATTTAGGTCATACGATTTTTGTGTGCCATGATAAAATATGTTCATAAAATTATCTTTTTTAAATGTATGAAATAACTTGTTTTCCTTTGTTTTATTGCCATTGTTTTTGTTTGCTTTTATCTCCATTTGGTAGACAAACTTTATACGATACTAGCTTCTATATCATATTATGTAGTACATAGTAGAGATTTATTTTTCAAAAAGATGCTTATAATGAAAAATGTGTTTCTTCCTTCCTTCTCTTCCTCCATCCCTCCCTTCTTGCCTTCTTTCCTTTATTCCTCTCTTAGTATTGTTTGAATTCACAAACCTCCTGTGGAGGCCATATGGTTTCTCAGATTTAATTTAATTTGGGTGGCATTTAATCATGTTTTCACGCACTCATAATTAATTTCTATTTGTAGTCCAGTGAAGAAATTCACAGTTAGGTGCCTTCACTATGCTTTTGATTATTATCTACAGTTAAATTGATTCACTTTTTTTCTTTTCCTTTTTTTTCCCTTAGAAAAAGGAATCAAATTCCTTCATTTTATAAAATAATGTTAGTTTATTCTGTCATTTTTACCTTCCTTTGATTCTATCAAGTTTTAAGTTTTAGTTTATTACCTAATTTTGAGTAGGTGTAATAAATAATTAATATATAATTAAAAATATTTTTAAAAATATAGCTTTAGAAGCACATTGGCCTATGTTTGCATGTTAGCTTTACAAATTACCAGCTTTATGATCCTGGACCTGTTCCCTTCCCTCTCTGAAGCTCTCTCATTTGCAGAATGAGGATTAAGTAAGACTTTTTTTTTTTTTTTTTTAA